TAGGGCAATAGGATTCTACAATAAACTGTCCAAAGTATCTTGGGCTAAACCATCTAGCCGCTCTTCTTCTTTAAGTCTGTAATTTAAATTGCACATTTTTTTTGGGTGCTTGCAGTCTATCCAGGGTCATGGGTTCTACCATTAGGTCTTCAAGTTTCTTAACTCTACTTAGTGCAACATATGTCATTCCTGAAGATTTTTTTCTGAAGGACCAAGATCAACCCAGGCTTTCTTTAGCGTTAAACCTTGACTCTTGTGTATAGTGATTGCCCATGCTAACTTTAGGGGTAATTGCTGTCTTTCACATTTTTGACCTAGGTTTTGAGAAACCTGTGTTATTGGACAAATTGGAACACATCTTGGAAATCTAGCAGAAAGAGTAGGGCCATTATAATCGTCGTCAAACTGTACAAGAACACAAATTGGTAGCGTCGGGGGAGTCTGGTCATGTGGATAAACAAAATCTAATACTGTCCCTAGGGTTCCATTACAAAGTCCAACTTCAGTCCAGATGTTCATAGTGAGCATTACTCTCGCTCCTTTTGCTAAGTAAATCACAGGCTCTAGGCCTCCCATTTCATCTGAGCTAAGGTTCTGAGCACCACCAGAGTGACGAGCTTTTATAGTTGCTATTGGTTGATTAAGAGCTTTTAACTTGGCTATGTTTATCTCTGCAACACTAGACTTGAGATAGGATAGTCTTATTGATGACATTTCAAATTCCTGGATATTTGATACACGGTCTGGAGTTCTTGACAGTAATGTATGCCAATCAGCTGGTGTGGATTCACCATTACGTGCTCTGAGAAGAAGATCCCCAAAAAGGTGCTGCTCACTACTGTTACCATCAACTCTGTGGTTAACTGTCAATGCAACTACTTTGTTAAACTGTTGATACATGAGATGACCCTGAATCTGCTTATCTGTTTTGGGCATTGAATGGTAAAGTGGTTTATCACCAACAGGGGGTAACTGTGCTATATCACCCACAACAATAACCGAAAGACCACCAAAACTCTGATTTGCCAGGCCTGTAGCTTGTCGGCATCTAGAATCTATCCAGCCAAGCAAACTCTGACCAACCAAAGAGTATTCATCTATTATCAAATACCGAAGATTTTCTACATTACTTTGAAGCTGTTGTAGTGCTATTCCTTTTAGTTCAGTGAGTCTTTTTGAGCCAATTGGCAATTTGAGAAATGAATGCAAAGTTACACCATTCACATTAAAAGATGCTTTTCCAGTGTACGCTAGCACCTTGCATTGTGTTTGGAGTACATTTCTAATGGCGTCAATGAGATAGCTTTTCCCTGACCCTGCAATACCTTTAATTAGGAGAAGTATAGGTTCTTTGTCACTTCTGTTAAAGTGATCACAAACTACGTTGTATGCCAATCTTTGGTTTGTACTAAAGCTTGAAATATCTACTATCCTTGTTGGCATTTGCCACTGAGGATTATTCATAGATTTTTGATTCGCTAACCAAGATACTACAGAATTTAGTTGCTCTTCATCAAAGTGTTCAGTAACATTGTGCCAATATCCCTCAGGAGCTAAGACAGAACTTTGTGCATCATTAGTAATGTTTTGAATATTCAACTCAGACATTAACATCCATTCTTCCTTTTCCTCTTCTTCATCATTTTCTGTTGTAAAATTGTCAGTTTCTAGCTTAATAGATTCCTTTAAGGCTTGTAACTTGATTTCCCAGTCAGGAACTACAGCCTTTCCATTGTTACTACAGAGAAAATTCATCCAACATGTTTTGAATGTTTCATTACAGTGTTCAGCATTACTCCAGGCATCATCTGGTGTATGCTCCCAAGGTTTATACTTAAGTAGTTGATATTTACAAAAAGCCCATAATGCTGATTTTGAGGATTTGATGAATAGTTTGGATATGTTTTAACAATTACTGGTCGTTTTCTTTTCTCTAGTTTTGAACCTTTATTAATATATGTAGATGTAAACTGTACAAAGTTGCATTCTAGTATACTTGGAAATGTTTTCATGTATTTCCTTCGCTCAGCATATATATCGAGCATGGATGGGGCAGTACAATATTCCTTATCTCTTACAATTTGAATTCTTCTTGAGCCATCTAGAGATGCATTTATTACTTCATAAGTAGCACTTACACACTTAAGAGAGAGTAAATGATGCATGACCTCTTGAATTGAATAGTCCCTTTGTCCTACAGATTTGATCATTATCTGCTTAAATGTGTTATGAATGTCACTTGTGTCTGAAAGCTTCTGAACAATAGTGGTGAATGCATTATTAACAACGGAAGATGCTTTTTCCCCTTTGGATGTGTACTTAACAAGATATTCTAAACATGCCTGGTAATCCACAATAATTTGGATATCACAATTTGCCCTCCATCCTTGAAGCTGCAATGGTTGATGACGATTTAATCTTGAGTCATTTCGTTTAGTAACAATAACTGCTTTATACTTTGGTTGACCTGATTTTGTATGGACAGGTTCAAAATCTATCCTTGTTTTTTTACAGTTATCAAATGGAAAATTAAACCTGCAGCATAATTCGCAACCGTCTTTTTCCTAAGGCAATACTTAGTACTACACAACGTATGCCTTTGAACAGAATTCAATAGATTCACATAGTCATCTTCCATTTTCTCTTCTTTTAAGGAAAGATATGGTGTTTGACATGGATGAGAATTTGGCTTGGACCAACCTTCATCTGGAGAACAAGGATTCCATGTCGTTAATAAAAAATTGACATATTGGCAAACAGTTGCCTCAGCATTTTCCCCCCTTTTCTCCTTATTTTTCAGTTCTTGTAGTTCTTCAATTGATATATTTGCTTGGTGTTCTTTGATATATTTTGATGCCAAAAAACCCTGCAGTGCAACTGCTGTAAGTTCACAAAGCCCTGGATCATTCTGCAATTTTGCAACTCCGTGACAATGAATCGATCCCCTCTGAACAGCATATTCATATCGGTACCAATACCAAGATGCCTGTAATGATTTATTCAGCCAAAACTTCACAAACCGATCAGTTCGCTCAGTGAAAAACCAGTCAATGAGATGTGGATTGTCAATAACATGTTTCTGTCTCAATTTTGGTGTGATATCTCCACAGTGGTCATTACTTAGAAGATTATGAAATTCTGGCCAATGGTACTCTGCACAAGACAAGGTAAAAAAAAAAAATTGTAGGAGGTCCTACTTGAGCAACGGTAGCCCTTAAATCCTCTTTTGCTTTGTGCCAATAGCTATTGCTACCAGTTATATTTTTAGCATAATGCATAAGTTTAGACATTAAAGTTGAATGATTATTTGACTGAAGCATCTGTTTAAGTTGTTCCACAGTTAGTTTTGCATCGCTAGGGTTTTGTTTCAAAAAAAAATACTCCCTTGACTAAGAAGTCTATGCCTCTGAATCATATTAAAAGCCCAATATGCAAATCGTGGATGGCTTGCAAACCTATAAGTCCACTCATCATTAGAATATTCAGCAAATTTAATTAGATGCTTTATTTTTCTCCTAAAGTTGCACCCCGCTTTATAGCAGTGTTTGTAGGGTCTCCTTTAGCATCAGGAAATAGGGTGGGAAATGCCATTGTTGCTAGAAATTCGATCTTAAATTCATTCAGAGGGCTTGCGTCTCTGTGTGGCCAATTTAATTTATGCTTTTGCAATAACTGATCTGTAATAAGTTGCTTTTGAGGCTTTAAGGTTACTGGATTAAGGATTGTGCTGCTTAATTCTGTCTCTTCATTGAATGGTATTTCATTGACATCAAGTGGACCTCTGTCTGGATCCATTTCCTTATCTTTAGTATTCTCAATACAATCAATCTGATGCAGTTCACTTGGGATGCCTTCAGATGGCAAGGAAGACAAGCAGTCATAATCTATAGTAATATTTTTGTATACAGGGTTATGCTGGACTAACCAGTGTAGAGCACAGCTCACTTTTTCCCGCCTTACTGTAAGATCTTTATAAGTATTATCTTTGCCTTTGACTGACACAACTATCACAGGCAGCTCCCTCGGATACCTTGGCAATGAGTTAGCTAGCTCTTGAATATCTTGGGAAAAATTAATACAGTGGCCTTTGTATGCCTTTGCCCCCCCTGGTTTTGTATAAACAGATATTACTGGAAATACACGTGCTATAAGCATTTCTTCTAATTGTGTGAGTCCCTGCAGTTCTTTTGGTGCTTGTGAAGGTATCATATTATTGTCAACTGAAAACTTTTTTGTTGCATTCTTGTCACGCAAACACCTAGAGCACACATATGTAGATTCATCTTTACATTTTTCTGACAATGGCCATGCTTCATGGCAGATGTTGCATTTATAGATTTTGAATTTCAAAGAATTATGGAAATCTCGCATGTTTTTTTTAGCCCATTCCTGTAAATGAATTGGTCCATTTGTTTGACTATCAAACAAAGACAAATATTTTTCCTTCTCCACAAAACATTTAAATACATTTTGATCTGCTTGCATTTTAAAATCACTGTTAACACTTTTTGCATGATTTTCCATGATGTCTGTATTTTGTTTTTCTTCTCTAATAAGTTTTGCTTGCATTTTAAAATCACCATGAACACTTTTTGCATGATCTTCTTTCATTACTGTATTTTGTTCTTCTTCTCTTGAAATTGTTTTGCTACCAGTTGCAACGTCTTTCTTTCTGTTGTTGTATTCCTTCATGTATATATTTTGCTTTCGTCGTGTAGTAAGTTTCTCACTATGAAATTCATTGTTTTTCTTTCTCCTTCTGTACTCTTTCATGTAAGCATTTTTCTTCTGTTTTAGGCCAAGTTGTTTTTCACTTTTTTCATGATTTTCCTTCATGTTTGTATTTTGTTTTTCTTCCGTTGCAAATTTTTTTTTTTTGGTATCAGTTTCAATGTTTTTCTTTCTCCTGTTGTATTCCCTCATGTATATATTTTGCTTTCCTTGTCTAGCAAGCGTCTCACTTTGAGATTCATTATTTTTCTTTCTCCTTCTGTACTCTTTCATGTAAGCATTTTGCTTTTGTTTTTGGCAAGTTGTTCTTCTGCAGTTTCATTACTTTTTCTTTTCTTTCGATATTCTTTCATGTATGCATTTTGTTTTGCTTGTGCAATGTGTTTGTTTGATGGCACTGTTAAAGTATCATTAATGAGTACTTTTGGCACTGAATGTCCTGTGAGGTATTCTTGGGTGTACTTAGATTGGTTCACAGCTGCATGTGCATTACCGCTATCAATGAATGGAATGGCAGACTTTTCATAGACAGCAAAATACCAGCCATTGGCATGGGCAATCAAGAGGTTTTGAAAAGTGGAATATTGCTGAATTGATCTGCAGATATCATCAAAATACAACCAATGTGTTCCTTTATTTATAGCGATAGTAAAATGTTGACTTGCAGAACGCACAACAGCTTTCAGTGAATAATAATTTTCTAAAACGTCCATAGTTAAAGGAAATGTAATTTGATCAATACAATTGGATGACAATTCAATAGTTAAAAATGTGGGAAGTGTTACAAAATGTCGCAATGCAGAAACATCACCACTGTGTTTTTGGCAAGATTCACAATAAAGAGCCCTACTGTGAGGAAGAACAGCTTCTGAAACATGATTTGCAAATTGCGTGGAAATGATATTTGGGCAGGTAATGTAAAGAACAAATATACCTGTCTTATATATGATTTGGTTGCCACATGATGCGCAACACGACTGATTGCATTGCTGAACAACAAACAATGACTTGAGGTCCTCACTTAACTCTCCGACAGTATTCAATGTAAATATGTCACTAAAAACAGCATTGGCAGTCATTGCAGAAAATGATGAACAATGATCTCTGAGCCATAACCACACAGGTTCTCGCACAATGTCAATAGCCCCAAGGTTTTCTCTTTGATTACATGACTCATAGATAACGTCAAAAACTCATTTCGTGTAGTGCTATGAAGATGATTACAAAAAAACACCATAACACAGCTCGAGAAAACAATCAACTGCACAGGAAAATTTACCTGCATTGTTTAAACAATAATTACTGAAGTGATCTCTACCAAATGAATAGCTGTTTTCCTCACACATTTTTGCAGCTTCCAAGTTATTTATGTTTCCATTTAATATGTGTGCTTCTTTATTAGAAATTGCAAAGGGATTAAAACTACCATTAGAAGGATAAGGTATACGTCTAGACAAATATCTTCCTCGGAATCTGAAAATGGTTACATTTTGATATCCACGTGGAAAATTGAAATTAGTCTCACCACTATGGCCCTGATAATGACTTACGACTAATAACACACACAATAGACGAAGCATCATAAATTCTCGTGAGCTGTTACTTCAGTGCACGCGCTTCAGCAAGTGTACTTTGGACCTGAGCAGTTCTGATTTCAAACGAAGCTAAGCACCCTACAATTTTGGAATAAAAAAACTATCCAAACTGATTTGCTAAGCTCCCTCAAGCTTGACTGATAGTGGCTTCCCGGCAAACAGAGCTTAGACTGTTTTTCACTTTCGGACACGCTAATGGATAAGCAAAAAAGCGCACAACTAACAGCGACACGCCATGTGACTCGTGTCTCGTTGGTCGATCAAAATTTGTAATTTTGAGCACTGAGCACACTAGCTCGATAAAAAGAGGCTTTATACGCCCTCTGATTGAGTTTATAGTGAATATATTCAAGTGGTTTTGTTTTTTGTTTCTTAAATGGCACGCTGGCCGATCTGGTCAAGACAATTGACTGTTTTGGCAAGCTCGCCGTGACTGTGACACTGTCACTCGCCGTTTTCGAGCTGCTCTCGATAACTGCCTCGCTGGGCGATTTTAGCCTCGCTGGGCGATTTTTCAGTCTGCTAGTTGCTAGATTTGCGACCCCGGATCCAAAAAACACTTAATTAAAATGCACCCAAGAAGACAACGCTCACGAGTGAATAAAATCAATATTTCCACTCACCTTTTCCTGCCTGGTAATTGATCACCTCGCAAGTCGCACGATGCCCAACACGAACAGGAGATGCCGGGATACACCAGAAAATGCCCACGAGGTTAATGTGGTCATCTGATGTTGGTCATGTGGTCACCGGTCATGATCGTCCTGATGTGATTGGTTTAGATTAAAAAATACCACGATGCCATTGGCTAGCTCGAAAACAATGACCGATGATGTCACTCTTACATTACCTTATGCTTACATTTTGATTCGAGATTTTTTCTCCCTGTACCAAAACTAACTCGCGCGTCGGATTTATGATGCTGCCGCCTCGTCACCCTCGCGTCCTCGCGAGGGTGACTCGTTGGCAATAAGCCGGCACTTTCTCGAGTATCACCCCGACAAAGGATGATCATTATGCACAAGCAGTCTTTGTGTTCCTCTAGTTCTCATTTACATTACTGTTAACATCTGTCTAATAATGTGCGTTCACTCGTATCTAAACGGGAAAAATTGATTGCCGGAAGTAGCCTGCGTAGCAACCGTTTCCTCGCGAGGTTCGTCTAGAAAGCTGGGACAAGAGCAAAAACAAAATGAAAGCCATTTTTTTGCTTCCGCTCTAACTTTCGCGCAATAACTCGATTGGAAACGCTTGCTACGCAGGCTATGCCGGAAGTTTCACGTCGTACTGGTAGTTTGCTACATAGCCGTCTTTAGTGTCGTCACGCAACGCTCCTCCCCTAAAAACGGCTGTGTAGCAGACTACTGCAATGGCAGCAAAGAAATTAAAAATGTAAGGGGCACCCGACGAGAATATAGTTCAAAACCGCTTAAACATAGCATTGTTAAACGTGTTTTAGTATTTAAACGGTGGATTTGGGCATATTTTTATCCCCTATAAATTTTTCATCTGTTCGCATTTCCTAGCTGAAAGTGATCCGAAAATTAAAGGGATCAAAACTTTCCTGTTCGAAAATTTCAGCCAGAAACAAGGCTCCCGAAAATTCTAGGTGACCTTTTTAGGGTAAAAATCCGTTGAAAATGGGCGTTTTTACCATTTTTTAGATGTTCGAAAATCCTAGGAGAGGCAGGCAAGCAAGAAATTTTACAACAAATGTTCCGAAAATTCTAGTACTCAAATCGTCTTCCGAACAGATATTTTTCCGAAAATTTTCGTTGGGTACCCCTGAAAATGCACATGAAAGCGTGATGCACGTATAAAATAATCTAACCCTAATTAATCTAACCCTAATTAATGCTTTTACCACGTCGCCGTCGTTGTTGCCAAAGCCCCCTAATAATGTTGTGGTTCAATTCTATCCTTGGTGTAAACTGACATTATTTTCCTTTGTCCTTGGGAATGAAAATGTATGATAATGAGTTTTTAAAAAACAAAGGAAAATATAGTACTTAACCCATGGATAAAATTAAACCACAACTATAGGAGAACATGAGCGTAAGCTATACAGGACCGTGAAAAGACTTTGATTGGTATATGTAAATATCCATAAATATCCAAACTGTTTACAATTCCGGAGCTGATCTTTGCTTACGATCCTCTTTGATACTTTAATGGTCACGGTTCAATAAGATACTGGCAAGTAAAATAAAAAGTTCTGCTTGAAGGCTCTCTCATGATCAGTTCTGTCTTCTTGGCAGAACTGTCATACTATCACGTTTACGCTACCACGAAAAAGAACTTAAAACTTGCTAGTGTAATACACTGATTAATATTAGACTAGAACTTGCAAATGTTCTCGTTTTTTTTTTTTTACATCACATCCCTCATTCATTATTAGATCGTCCGTCAGTTACCTAGTTTTTCTTTCTTTTTCATTTTCTTCTTTTCTTTTTTGTTTCTTCAGTTTAGTTCTTCACAGTTGGTTTTTTTTGCTCTATCTAATCGTTCATAGCGCGTCACTAATCAGTTGGCCAAAAAATTTAAGTTTCTTGTTTTGTATGTTGTTTGAATTGTCTTGACCGTAGTGAACATAGTAGAGAAGCCCTTTCTTCGCAAGTGACTCTGGTGACTAAGGTCTGCTCAAGGAGCTTATTGGCAAACTCGTGTGGATTTTCACAATGTGATTTCTACCTCGTAGTTTTACTTAGCCTTGCGATTTCTTGAATCGAACTAGTTTGTCGCATTAATATCATCTTAATGTAACACACAGTTTAACTTTGTTATTTGTTAAAACAACTGTAACTACTTTTTAAACGCACTACAAATTACAGCATTTGTGTAATCTCACTGAAAACATACTTAGAGATAGTGTTCCTCGTTGGTCACTTGAGTTCTCGAGTCAAGTACTTGCTGCATGCGCTTGATCAGGCCCGGCCAGGGGTTTTGGGTATACGGTATCCCGGGCCATTTTAATTCAGGTATATGGTATTTTTTGGTCAAAATTCGGGTATAAAGTATTCAGTTTTTCCTGAATTTTAGGTATTTGGTATGTGGTACAGAAATCACTAAGAAATGTATTGTTCATTTCTCAGTTTTATTATCGCCCTAATGCTGACTAGAAATAGTGCGGATGCTCGAAATTGTGTTCAAGCCCTAATCAAATACTTACAAAACCTGTAGCTCTTTCTGTCAGCCTTTAATCTGACTGGGTCAACCACAAGGTTAAGTTTTGATGAGACAATTACCCGCGTCCAGCATTACTACACTTTTCACGAAGAAGCCTCGTTGAAAGTTCACGGTATCAAGGGCTCAACTTCCCAGATGCAAGGACCAGACTGAACACTATCTGCTACTACACTGAACTCCGTGAAGATGATACTGGAAGGCCTCACTAGACTGAGGACAAAGGTGATGGAACTCAATCCAAACTTCATTCAACACTTAGACGTTGAAAGCCTTTTAACTTTATTTGTTGAACACTTCTTTTCCAGTATGAGAGGAGGTATTTAAACACGGACACTCCCATGATGCTCGACATTTGCTTGCGTTTTCCCCAATGTATTAACAAATTATTAAAACATGTCACAGGTACGAGCTAGAGGTACTTTACAAATCCAGGGACCTCGTACTACCTTCAGCCTACTTTAGGTGATGTTGATATTAACTTGTGCGACCTTGCGAAATTACCGAAGCCTTTGTCTGGTTGCTTATCCAAGAAGCAATTGGATGAGATCTGTCAGTGGGTACAGCAGTAGGGTAAGAGTGTCAGACAGAATACCACGAGGAACTTTTCAACAAAAGACAAGCCAGGTACCTTGCCATTGAACCTGTACGAGTCTGAACCCCTGGAGCAACATTCAGTTGACTTTGACGTGCTTCACAATGAAGACATCCCGGTTCATCACCAAGATACCGACACAGCTCGTAACATTGTCATCGCCCAGTCTACGTATGTTGTAGTTTCCCGAATATACAAACCGAGTTCTGCTCCAAACAGCCCACTGTATATTACAAAACTATTAGAGGATGTGGTTGATGACTATGACAGTGCTCGTTATGTAACAACTCTCTTTTACACCCAAGATGTTGTCGATCCTCTCCCATTTACTACTTCGGGAGAAGAGCATGTCATCCCAAAAGAGGGCATAAAGGGGGTTGTAAGCAGCATTACAGTTGTTGACAATGAAACTGTTGAAATAGAGGAGGAGGAGTATTATCTGCTCCTGGCCTTGGTGAACGGATCCACTGACACCACCTGTCTCAATCAAGCTGATGAAGGACCCTTTGCAGAGAGCGTTGACGTTCACGGTGACGAGGATCCGATCACCATGGATGCTGGCCGACCGCAAAGGAAGCGGAAGAGGACAGTGAACCAGGAGTTTCTCTTTTATTAAGATCTAATTTGTTCATTTTCAGGTATTTAGTATTCTGTTTCAAAATAATTTTAGGTATTTAGTATCAAACATTTTACGATTTTGAGGTATATTGGTATCTTGGGGGCAAAATAGCGGGTATATTGGTATCCCACTACCCCCCCTGGCCGGGCCTGCTTGATGGCCCATGCAAAGAAAAAGGAACGCATGTGTGCTCGAAAAAGTAGCTGTTCGACTTTTTCCAACATAGAACGTTTCAGGGCGAGTGAAAAGAGCCAAAAATAAGTACCTAAGTCATAATTTGCACCCGTGACGTGACGTGAATACAATCATGCCCTAAAATACAATTTTTTATTCGGGTGTTTAATTTACTGAGTT